GAGGAAAGTGTGTTGAATGGAGGTAATAATTCCACATGGACTGTACGACCAATCTTGTTACTGGAGCAATGAATTCTTATTTCAAGAAGTGAGGCCTTGGAGTTCAAGGGTTAGCTTAACAGAGCGGGCAGTAATTTCTTCTGGACTCCAAATCTTCCTCTGGGGCAGAGCGTGCTTTCAGTGGTGACCTGTGGCTGTCAGGGGCAGCCGTCTTAGGTGCTGGGTGGAGACTATCTCAGATGCATTTTGAGTCATGGGCTGTGGGCCAGATCCACAGCTGGTGTACGTAGTCATGGATCCATTGATTTCCAGTTCACTGCAGCTGAGCGGAGCCCCTCGTGTCCTGACAACACAGCATTTTTTGCATGGAGGTGGTAGTGAAAGGAGGTGAAGTGGCAAATAGGAACAGTGTCTCTGTAGACAAGACATTCTGGTTTAATTTGGAGGAAGTATTGATGATAAGCGGGGCTTGCTCTTGTTGCCTACTGAAGGCAATGAGAAAACTCTTAGTGACTTCAGTGGAGATTGGCATCAGGTCCCTTTGTGGGATACTGGTGATCCATTTCTCCTCCCTTCCTTCCCTCCTAGGCTGGGTGGTGGACTACGACTCCCAGCTTGTGCTGTTCCCTTGGTGCTCACCAGGCTGCTTTTTGCATTTTTTCTTTGTGTGGGAAGTTGAATGTGTTGTCACGTGTATGATTGGACAGAGCAGGGTAGGAATCTTTTGTTTATAGAGGGCTTTAGTCTGTATGACCGTGTGGCCAGTATCCCAGCCGCCTAACAGCATGTTAGGCATGACATGTAATTCAGCAAAAGTGTCTGTCACAGTGTGATGTTATGAATGTAATAACATGGTGCTCTTGGTTTGATGGTAATTTGTTCGTCTTTGCTTTGTATATTGGACCTGGACCCTGGAGGGTTCAACTTTTTGTACCCCAAACCCCTGAATAAATTAGTTAAAAAGTCAAAGTCCTTCCTTCCTTCCTTTCTTCCCATTGATAGGCTGGACGTATTTAGATAATGCAGTCTAAGTGCATCGAGAATGAAGGCCAGGTAGAATGGTCCAAGAAGATATGGGGTTACAGGATCCAAATATTCACTGCATAGACAGTTGTGCATCTTACTTCACTCACTTATAAGCACTGAAGCCTTCAGCATCCCGTCACTGCACATAAGTACAGACAATGAGTGACACAGGTTAGGTTTTGTTCCCCTCCTGGGCTCTGGAGTTCTTTTTCTGTGTGGAAGCAAGAATTGTTTTGTGGTTAGAGCAAGGGCACTCTTGCTCAAGAGTCAAAAGAGACTAGTGTTGTTGAAGATCTGCTATGGTGTCTCCAGTTGGACACTTGAATATTGGAAGCATCCTATATCTCTCAGTCTGGACTGAAAATGTTGTCCATGAATCCTGGATTTCGTTACTGGCTGTACCACTGTCTTGCCTTACAAAAGTCATTCCCCCCACTCTGTACCATAGTCCCATAATCCATAACATAGGGCTTCTCTTGCCTCCCTCAGAGAGGTGCTGAGCCCCACTGTTGGAAGTCTCTTGTGACAAAAGTGCAAACGATCATTCATTAGGAATTTGTCTTAGTCATAATATTAACAAAATGGCACAATGCAAATTTTGTGCCAGATTGTTTTGTTCAGAAATAGAAATGAGTATGACCCTGGATAAACTTAAGCAAAGAAAAAGTGCCTGTGCAGGGTGGGGAAGAGGGCAGAATAGAGGAGAGGAGAATGGTACACATCTGTGTGGGAAGAGATAGTGTGTGTGTGTGTGTGTGTGTGTGTGTGTGTGTGTGTGTGTGTGTGTGTGTGTGTGTGTGTTCACAGATACCAAACCTTAGTGACCTCCACCATCAGCAACAAACAGGTCTCTGTTTGCTGCAGCACCTTTCCATCAAACCTGACATCTTGACAACAGCAGCAGTGGCATAGTTTCTTAGGCAATTTATGAATTATGGGTGATATTTTGGATGCCAGAGACTAATCGCAGCATGGTGCTGGGGAGCATTTCCTCGATAAATGTTAATTTCACAAATCATGTTTGACTTTCGGTTTATGATTTAATTTGTGACAAGGGGCTTTGGTTGAGTAGATTCCTAATGCAGCCATGAATCAAATCCTTTTTCCACAGTTTATTTAACACTGAAAATGAGTTTTCAAAAAAATAATGATAAAAATCTAGCAGTGTGGCTATGCTAACCTAACAGTCATTTCTTCTCAGTTTCGTTTCTTTAATTGGGATGGTTAGAGATACAAAGCTGGTTTTAAGGCTTATGTCTTTTGCTTTGTATCCAGCACATTGATTTATCTTATTTAGCCACATGTCTGCAAAATATCGTGATAGGTACGTAGGGCAGAATCACAACTCCAGTTTGTAATATGTTCCTAGAACAACAGGGGAGGGATAGTCCAACGTAACATCATTTATTACCAGTTGCTTTTATTATGTCTTGTGTGACAATAGCAACAAGAGTCTTTCACAGAGGCCCTGGTGCAAGAGGTGACATACAGACACAGCTAAAGACAGTCCTTGTCCTGAAAAATGTGTTATTTAAATAGCCAAGATGGGTGAGAAGAAGGTAGAGAACTGAGGCATAGAGGCTTTGTCAGGACCAGGTTGAAGGTGGCTTAATACATTTTGTTAATGATCAGGAAGGAGGGCTGAGCAGTGAGGTAGCAGGAATCTGCAGATGGCCTAGTTAGGAAGATTAATCAAGTCCAAACAATGAGGAGCTTTCCAGAGGCCTAAAGAAGCAAAGTGAATGGGCAACATAATACCAAGCTGAAGGGGAAAATTTTAACTATGCATACACCTTCAGTGTTCAAAATCACTGTAGCAAATCAAGGAAAGGACTTGACCACCACTGTGGGGTGGCCAGTAATGACTTTCGTTCTGTCTGCAGTTGCATTTAGAAAAGATAAACAGGCAGTACTGCTCCCCCATTTCAAAAAAGATACCACAGAACAAGAGTGGGTTTAGAGAAGGGTGATGAAAGTTAGCAGGAAAAAACTCTTGTATGTAAAGAGATTGAAAAAATCAGTATGGCTTATCTTAAAAAGGAGATGAGAAAGACAGAACATAAGAAAACTTTATAAAATAATAAATGGCATGAAAAGGGTATAGGCAGGTGAAATTGTTCAGCTGCCATTTGGACAAAGTTTTTCACTCAAAAATGCAGATCTGATTTGATTGAAATGTTGTAATTTTGTGCTATTTCAGTGAACTGTGTCAGTCAACCCCCTCCCCCCCACCCAAAAATATTCCTTGAAAGTTGAAACAAGTTTTTTCAACTTTTTCAGGATGAAATCACAGAATTTTTCAATTATTCAGATTATTTTGAATAAAAGTTACATAGGGTGCATCTACATGGGACATTTTACTACTCAGTAGAGTTAATTACTGCATAGTAAGTGTCGCTGTCTACATATGCTGACCCTTACTGTACAGTAATTTGCTCTTCTCAGCAGTTAATTTGCTACCTGCAAATGCAAGTAGAAAATTAAATGCCAAGTAATTACTGTGCAGTATGGGATGTGTAGACTGCTGACTGGGAGCAAATTTGCTCCCAGTCAGCTGTGCACCATAGGGTGGGAGATTGCTCCCTGCTCCCAGAAGTTGCCTACTGCCGGGGTGGATTCTGCCACCAGAGCCCAGGTGGGGACAATGTCCCCCTGCCCCAGCAGCAGGGAGCTCCTAGCCCCTGCTTCATAATCGCAGAGTAGGGGATAGGAGATTACTCCCAGCTCCACAGTTGCAGAGCAGGGGCTGGGAGATTGTTCCCACTCCCAGCTCCACAATTGCAGAATGGGAAACTAGGAGCTTATTCCCAGCCTCAGATCCATGATTGCATTCACACAGCAGGGGCTGGGAGCTCCCTGCATGGGGAGAGTTCCCCACCCAGCCTGGAGCTGGCTAGGACCAGCTCCTGACCAGGACAATTCCTGACCAGCCCCAGGCTGCACAGGGAAGTCTGCACATGCAGCCAGAAGGTGGGTGGGGACTGTCTCATTTCAGGTGATCCCCAGCCAACTCCAGGCTGCACATGTAGACTTCGCCCAGGACTGACCGGGAACTGTCCCGGTCAGAGGCAGGT